AAGCAATGGAAGCTTCAGGGACTCCATGCCGTGGGAGTATCGCTGAGTGCTCGCGACGCTTTCCGATTGTTGTTTTTGTTTGTGATTTGCGACGGTTGGCAACGATGACACGATGACAGTCTTATTGAAACGCTTCATGCTTTACTCAGGTATTGGATCCACTCATCATGAGCAGCCCAGGCTAAAATCAACAACCATGCTGAACTCTACGTATCCGACACCCCAAACACCCAAAGCGTCGAAGAATGCCCAAACCCTCACTATCTTCTGTCCTATCCTACCCTAAGCCCTCTACCCTACACCCTAAACCCTAACTATCCTATGGTTCTGACATGTTCTGACGAGTGGCTGCGCCGAGGCGTTGGCTTCGGCAGCCAGTCCCGTGAGGTCCTGGATGCGCGCCTCCCAGAGCTGGCTCTTTTCACTTTTCCATTCTTTTTGAGGGTTTAAGGTTTAGGGGTTTAGGGCTTCCCTTTGTAAGGCCCTGAGGCTTCCTTGCAGGTTTCCTTGAAATGGTTTCCCCTACTGGGCCTGTGGGAGTTTGTGGAGAAACTCCACTGTGAGTAATGTCACGGAGCTGTTACAGCTGCTCCTATTTGTGCACGCTCGGGTAGGGAGCAAACGGACACAACAACTTCACTGAACAGGTTTCCTAAAATCTTACTACCTTTTCTGGCTTCTTTGAACAGGGCCTTGTGCAGAATTATGGGTGTCAGGCAGAAAGGTCTAGAATCTCACATGATGCTTGCCTGTTTCGATGCTTTTAGTTTGGCTGGCTTTACCAAGGCCTGGATATGTTCGGCTCTCCCAACTCAGGCCATCCTTTATGGTGAAAGGTTTGTAAGAGCTACGACACTTCCGACCTCGGACCTGACACCAGAGAGGGCCTCAAGATGCAGCAAGATGATGAACGGTGTAGGGTTTAGGGCCCAGTGTTTAGCAACAGCCCAGTTAAGCCGAATCAGCCGCCTGGCCGTCGGAAACCTCGACACTCTTCACGTCGTTGTTCTCCTGGCAAGTTGGCCGCAGCCGGATCTTCCCCATGTTGTTTAAGAAGCTTGTTGTTCAGCAAAGCAGGGGGTCTTCATTGGTCGCTTATACCCGATGGCTCTGCATGATTCTGTACTGGTTGTGCATGTAGTCACAGGGTCTTGTCTGATCAATTCGGAGGCACATCTGTACTTCCTCGGGATCACGAATCACAACATAGCTCTTGTATGCGCGCGTCTGCAACAGTCCAACAGTGGCAGAAACTGTCGGCGTCACCAATTAAAAACCAACTGCCTGTCGGTCAAACCGCACGCTATCCACCGTGAAAAGCCCGATAAAGGATGGCCCTGTGCAATCGCGTGCCATCCAGCGTGTCTCTCATGTAGGGGATGTCGCTCAAGCATGCCCTGCACAAAGCCATGTTCGATACCCTAGAGACGAACCTGTCGATCTCCAACTCAACATCACGATCCCTGAGAAGCGATGTTTAAAAAACTGCCTTTCCAGTGAGGTGTGAGGGGGTCTCCACACAAAAAGTCAAGCATTAGACTAAGTCCGCCCCCCCCAGAATTATCCTCACCTCGATGCTACCCGAACCACAGAACTCAGGTCGTCCTTGCACCAGTCGCGGAGTTCGGCATACATGTCCTCATCGGCCTTCTGCTCCTTCTCCAGGGTGGTCTGCATCTCCTGGGCCAAAGGTGCTGGTACCAAGTCTGACAAGGAATGGTTCCTCTCTGAGGGACCCTGGAAGTTAGGATACTCTCTTGAGGAGCCCTTGCAAGTCATAAGCCTAAGAAAATATCAATATTTCATATGGGGTTCCTTATTAGAGTTATAATGCTTCGCAAGAATAAGACAGGAACCTTCTCTGATCAGGCGAGTACAGGAGCGGCTCCCCGGTCCTTCAGCATGTCGACGACCTCGCCGACAGGTTTGGCGGCTGCTTGGGTCCTGGGAAAGCCGGAATGTAGGGGCCCTTGTCATTGGAGTAGGGGTCCTTTAAAGGGATCCTGAGAGAGTTCTATAAGGGATCTATCATAGGGCTCTATGGGGATTGGAGTTCGGGGGTTCAGATCCTGCCGGACTGGTGACTAGCTCTGCTGTGGTGGCCACACTGGATCCACTAGTGCCAGCTGCCGGCGGACCTGTGTAAATAATGGGACATGAGCGCAAAGTATGGCAAAACATGAACATGCGCCACGGCGAGAGCTGCGTCCCAGTTGTCTGAACCACACTGTTTGGTGAAAAGGCACGAGTCGCAGCAACAATATGCCAGTAAACGTTCAACAGCAACAGCAGCAGCAGAACAACAACAACAAC